ATGGATGAAACCTGCTATGATTACCCTATTTTAAAGCATAAATTTGATTTAAACAATAGGTCTATATAATATTCATATAGGGGACATATTGTATTAGCCCTACAGTTGAAATACATGCATGAAATACATGTATAAATAGGTTTATATTTAAACCTATAACATTTTACATAACATTTACCTATTTTATCTCACAATTCTGACTTTTTTTTCTTGCAAATGCAAGTTTATATCTCCTAGTTCGGACTTTATAACTTTATTCAAGTCAACAATTAAGAGTTTGTCAATTCTGAGGGGAAAAAGCCAGAAGTGTGGGATTATAAACTAAAAAGAAAGAATGACGAGTTGATTTTTCTTACCAGAATTGTGATATATAATCTCAGAATTGCAAGAAAAAAGTCAGAATTTTGGAATATAAACTCAAAATTAATTTTTTTATTCTTTTATTCCATGGCTTGAATAGACTGCTACGTTAAAACTGTCATTCCCCTTCAGGAACTCGAGCTGCGTCGAGATCGCTTTGGGAACGCCTCTGCATGACCGCGCTCTGAAGCACGTGTCAAATCAGCCCAATGGAGTAGCGAGACGTCACGGGCGGGGTGACGTAAGCACAAGAAAGTATAATAGCGCATCCAGCAGAGCGCAAACCAGCTTCTGCTCTTCAGTAGCGCTCTGTGTATGTGTCTGTCTATTTACTGCTGTCTGTCCGCACAAGCATATATAAAAAACAATCATGAAAAAGTCTATGGCGAGCGAACGGCATTACAAATGCTGTGTTCCTCCCTGCCCACGATATCTGGCGGCGGGGGATACACACGATTTGTGTGTCGTTTGTTTGGGAACAGCGACTGCAGGACCCAGTCAACTGCCCAATTGGTACAGTTCTGGAGTTTCTGCAGGAGCGATTCTCCGCAGGGTTATCTCCCTCCACTCTGAAGGTATACGTGGCGGCCTTAGCTGCTTACCACGCCCTTCTGGGTGGTCAATCATTGGGAAGACACCCACTTGTCACTCGTTTCCTCCGTGGCACCCTGAGGTACAGCGCACTAAGGTGCCCTCATGGGAACATCTTTCTCCTTGCTATTTCCTCACTAAAAAGGATCGGGGATCTTCAGGCACTTTCCGTTTCGTGCCTGGAATTTGCTCCAGGCATGGTTAGGGCATTCCTTTACCCGAGGGCCGGGTATGTCCCTAAGCTGCCCACTTCTTCGCCAGGGCCCATAGTACTTCAGGCATTCTGTCCTCCTCCGTTCCAGGAAGTAGGCCAAGAAAGGCTTAATCGGCTCTGTCCAGTTCGAGCACTGGACGCTTACGCCTACAGAGTTGCCCCGTGGCGTAAGGCAGATCAGCTGTTTGTTTGATTTGGTCCGCCAAAGAAAGGATCTCTGGCGACCAAGCAGACTATGAGTAGGTGGGTGGTCGAGGCCATCTCACTAGCCTACGAGTCCTCTGGCCTCCCGTCACCTATGGGGGTCAGAGCGCACTCGACCAGGAGTATGGCGTTCCCCAAGGCTTTCAACTTGGGTGTGGCCTGGCAGGACATTTGTGCTGCGGTGGGCTGGTCCTCTCCGCACACTTTTGTCCACTTTTACAACCTAGACCTGGCATCTACCCCAGGTTCCCAAGTTCTCTCTTCGTGATGTGCTCGCAAGATACACACACAGGCAGGGACTTGGTAGTATGCAGGCGCTACTTCATCGAAGCTGGTTTGCGCTCTGCCGGATGTGCTTTTATACTTTCTGGTGCTTACGTCATCCCGCCCGTGACGTCTCGCTACTCCATTGGGCTGATTTGACACGTGCTTCAAAACGCGGTCACGCAGAGGCGTTCCCAAAGCAATCTCGATGCAGCGTCTCGTTCCCTCGGGGAACCATGGTTACATACGTAACCTAGAGATGTTTTCTACCACCATATAGGCTACGCCCACAAAAAACGTCATCACTGTTTGCAAACACTGAAATTGATCTATAAGTACTCTTTTCAAAAGTATGCTAAAGTGCACTTCTTTTTCACAACTATTTTCTATTCCTTCCAAAATGGAACAGGGTGAACGGAAAAGGAAGCCACTGTAAATAGTAACAACTGTAAATAATGTTTAAAATGTAATGTGTTTTATTTGTTTTTATTACACGGACGTCTCGCTGCTCCATTGGACTGATTTTACACGTGCTTCAGAACGCGGTCACGCAGGGGCGTTCCCAAAGTGAATCTCGATGCAGCGTCTCGTTCCCTCGGGGAACCATGGTTACATACGTAACCTAGAGATGTTTTCTACCACCATATAGGCTACGCCCACAAAAAACGTCATCACTGTTTGCAAACACTGAAATTGATCTATAAGTACTCTTTTCAAAAGTATGCTAAAGTGCACTTCTTTTTCACAACTATTTTCTATTCCTTCCAAAATGGAACAGGGTGAACGGAAAAGGAAGCCACTGTA